CCCCCCGCCACCGTCGGTTGCCTGCGTTCGGAGCTTGGGCGGAGGAGGCTGCGGGAGTAGAGAGGGATAGTAACGGCCCCCTCCGCTGCTTGCGTACGCGCTCGCCATGCAGTCAGCGCGCTAGGGAGCGCGATTGTTCGCGTGACTCATCAGCCTCCTTCTCCTACGCACGCAGGGGCCCGGCTCCCGGGGGCCCCGCAGCCTCGTGCGGGCACTCGGCCGGCCTCGGCGCTTCTTCGCCCGGCCTTCTGCCGGGGTGAGGTGGGGAGGGCGGGGAATGCGTGTGTCCAGCCTGGTGTGGCGACAGCGGAGCCTCGGGAGAGGGCGGGAGGGGTGTTCCGCGCCTGGAACGGGCGCAAAGAGGCCGCAGTGGGGAGCGCAGTTATGGTTTTGATACAGCAATAAGCGAGGACGGGAGTGAAAGGGCTCGAGGTTCACTTTGGGAGGTAGGGGAGACACGGGGCTGTGAGGCGCGGAGACCCCTTTCAGTTACGCATCTCAGAGCACTGTGTAAGTCACGCACTCTCCTTCCCACTTTATAGACGAGAAAACTGAGTCATAAAAAGGTAGCACGGCGAGGTAAAGGTCCAAGGACAACTACCTCTCTTCCTTTGGTCCAGGCTCTGGACAGGTCGAACCCATCGAAAAGGAAGTAGCTGGCAGGTGGCCCTGCGCCAGGAAGCGGAGCGGTGCTCTGGGACCCTAGTTCCAGAAAAGTGCGCGCGGAGCCTGTGGCTGCGGTTCTCGCCTACCGGGAAGAGAGAAGGAAACGGGGATCGTTATTTCAGTCTCTTAACACTGCCTGCCTACCTCCACACCCCCCCTTGGTTTGTGATCAGTAATTTTCCAGCCGGGAAATGTTTTCGCCCTCATCTCTGCAAACAGTACTTTGATATATTTTTTTAAACGTGAGCGCGGTGTTCGGTATCGCTTGCTGGACGTAGACTTGCGCGGTGTTTACTTTGGATTGAGGCGTGGAGAGCCGGCTCCGTCCTCCCACTCCACCGAGCCCCCTCACCAGTAAAGTCAGCCGTGGGGAAAGAAAGGGAGAAAGGGACTGGGAATAGCAGCCGAGGGGAAAGAAAGGGAGAAAGGGACTGGGAATAGGGGTTGCTGCCCCAGCATCGGGCAGAGTGTCTGCGTGCACTCCTCGTAAAGCTCAAGTTCTGGCATTTATGCCGTTGTTACCCGTTTGTTTGAATCTTGCGATTCAGGTGCCTATTAGGTTTCCTCTGAATATTTGGTATCCCTGATTTTTCCACTCCTCGCCGACCACAGATGCATTCTTGGGATTCATCTCGCTCCGAGTGAATCGACTCTGCCCTCTGCCAAAGCCAGGAATCCCTCTAAGGTGCAGAGAGTTGGACGCTCTTGGGGATGCCTTCTTCCTTCTTTAAAAATAATTATTTTTATTTAACTATATTTATTTTTCATTTGACCGGGGCGGGGGGGGGGG